AAGAAAGATCTGTAGCTTTAAAAAATTTATGTAAATTATGATTGGGAAAAATTTAGTGCTTTAAAAAAATTATGGCTGTGTACAGATTCTACAGCACTTACCAATCAAGCCCTAAGACACCACATTTAGAGAAATGCTTCATCACCATATGCTGGACATAATCCCTAGGAAGCGAAGTGTCGTATCCTGTAACTCCCATCCTAATTAATACGAACTATTTGATAATATTTATCAACATGACAAGAACATATCTAACATATATCAAACAGGAAGCATTAGAGCAAGATTAATGGTCAGCTTTAGATAGGTTCTAAAGAAAAAAGAAAAAGAAAAAAAGAGAAAAAAAATGAGGTGGCAAGACTGATTCCCATAGTCGCCTCTCTGCACAGAAGCTGTAGAAGCATCTCTACTATGACGTGGCAAGGTGCCATTCGTCAATTTTTTTTTTTTTAAATCGTTTTTTTTTAAAAAAAATTATTAATAAAATTATTTTAAGAACTTCTCTCCTCAGCTCTCCAATACCGATGCTCTTAGTGGCTTATGTGTCATTATCTCAGAATTTTAAAATTTTTAAATCTCAATAATGGTTAAAAACTTAAATAATTTATTCTTGCAACCAAACACAATCTTTCTTGCAACTAAACAAAAATTTCTCTAATTATTTATTTTTTAATTGTATTTAATGTTTTAAAAATCTGCAATTAATATTTAAGTTTTTTTGTATATAATTTAAACAATTTGATTTAAATAAACATGACAGAAGATTTAAGTGAATCTTTGTTGTTAAAAAAAAGTATGTAATATATATTAAACAGGAAGCATTAGCTTAGGTGTCATTATCACTTTTTCTAATATTTTTTTATTGATTTATTTTTTTGTGTTATTCTTATTATCAAACACTTTGTTTTAAATCAATTAAATTAAATAAAATTTAAACCGAACCAATTGCAAATAATTCGATAATTTTATTGGTTTAGTAAATTAAATTAGTTACCTGTTTTATTAATGGAAATAAAAATTATTTTCATGTTTTAGATCTACGAATATTTATTGTTTTGCAACAGCTTTGACTCACATATTATACAAACGAAAAAAAATATTATTTTTCGAAACCTCGGACGAAAGTAAATGTAAATCTCGCTTTGTATAAATTTAAATTTAAAACAAAAATAACTAAATTTTCTCAAATCTCGACTGAATATTTTTAGATACCCAAATATTTTTTAAAACTTAATAAATTATAGAACAATTTTTTAAATATTTTTACAAATATTACTCTGCACGAACATGCAGGTAGTAACCTTGTATATCTTAAAAGACAAAAGAAAAAAAAATTACTTGCGTTGTAGATTCTCTGCGTCTCTCATAGGAGCCCATACATGGTCAAGGTGGTTGGCATGAAACGGGTAGGGCTCAACGACTAACTTGTGTCCTCCCATGTAACTTCCACTAAGTTTCAACGCCATCTCTGCACCGTCTCCCCGAAGATAAATCAATGCAAATCTGTCAAAAACAAATAAACTAAGAGTTGATTCAACTTAAAAAAGCTGAGAAAGAAAGAAAACAGGAGGAAAGACGCCACAAACCTTGTTGAGTATAGGGGTGACGACAAATCCGGGAATAAATAAGTATATCACCTCTCCACATGAAGCGAAGTGTTCATTGAAAGCAGTAATTACATCATAGCCAGAAAGCGAAGTGTTGTATCCCTCAACGTAAATGCTGCTCACAATGCTACTGCAATAGATTTGATTGGTAATAATTATTATCAACATGAAAAGAACACATTTTACAATTATAGTGAACAAAAAAAAATCAATTTTTACATGCTTTTACGTTTGTCTGCATCCCTATCGTTCGATTTCATACCCTAAAGGTACAAAAGATCTAATCAGAATATATTCAAATTGAGAAACAGAGATTAATGATAATCATAAGGTTCGAACGAGAGATTACTTTGGTGGCGAATCCATCCATGGAGAAGTTGAGAAGATGCGACTGCGCTAGGTTTTCGAGAGGCGATGATGATAACACTTGGAAAGATAGTTTTTGGTTCTAGAGCTTAAGTATACGAAGAAGGAGGATTAAAACGGCCAGTTCCCCTCTAAACTAACAAGTCCTCACGATTTATATATGATTTATGAGTCAATGCTAATAAGTATATGAACTATTTAAAATTTTGAAAATACTACATGAACTAATAAAGTATGGTCGATTCCACCAAAATCGCATATAACTTTATTTGTAGTATTAGTGATTGCTGACTAGGATGACACGTTGTGTGCAAAAATGGCCGATTCCCCTACAAACTTTCAAATTCCTGATGATTCATATATGATCTATGAATCAATGCTAATAACTACATAAACAATTTTTAGAATTTTGAAAATACCATATGAACTATAAAAATATGATCAATTCCACCAAAATCATATACAATAAAATCTCTATAAATTAATAATACCATAACAATGAATTTAGAAGGCAAATCAAATAACATTTATAAACTTGAAAACAATAATAAAAGTATTATCTAATTAGCAATTGCTAACATTGCAATTTATATTATACAGTAGAATCTCTATAAATTGATATCGATAAATTAATAATCCTAATTAGCAATCGCTAACACTGCAATTAATGTTATACACTAGAATCTCAATAAATTAATACTCGATAAACTAATAATTATTATAAATTAATAAATTTTTTCGGTCCCAAGTTAAGCCAGAACAAATTAGCAAATTTTGATAAGGTAATACTTTTTTAGAATTCTTATGTGAAAATATAGTCCCAAGAATTACATAAATTAATAATTCTACATTTAAGCATATATAAATAATGTAATATAGTTATTTATAATTATATTATTGTTTCAAATTTATAAATGTTATTTGATTTGCCTTCCAAATTCATTGTCATGAAATTTTTGAATAAACTTTTACATTGTTGAAAATATTTTTTTTTGGTCTAAGAATTCGAACTGAAAAATATCTCTATAATTAATATTTTATTAATTTATCGATAAACTAATATTTATTAATTAGTTAACAACACAATAAATTAATATAAGTTTAAAGTCTCAATATTATTAATTTATAGAAGTTTTACTGTATGTGATTTTGGTGTAATCGATCATATTTTTTAGATCATATAGTATTTACAAAAATTTAAATAGTTATTAGCATTGGTTCATAGATCATATATGAATCATCATGAATTTGAATGTTTATAGGGGAATCGGTCACTTTTCCACACTACGTGTCATTTCAGTTAGCAATCGCTAATGCTACAAATAACGTTATATACAATTTTGGTGGAATCGATCATATTTCTTTAGTACATCCTTAGTACATGTATTATTTTTAAAATTTTAAATAATTTATATAATTATTAGCATTGGCTCATAAATCATATATGAATCATCAGGAATTTGTTAGTTTATAGGAGAATTAGCTGTTTTTTCTTTTTGAATGGCAAAGAGGATAAAGATATTTATATTGGCGTCTTAAGTTTTGTTCAGGCCCATATAGTTCAGACTCATATAGTTCAGGCCCATCTTATCCGTAACAAACGGTTGGTTCTTGAATTTTGTTCAGACCCATATAGTCCATAACAAAAAAATACAAAATCAGTGATTTTTGGCGTTTACACATTTATAAAACTTGTCAGAGTTTTCGTTTTAGAAAGCTTTTTTATCTGCAAGGAATGAGGATTAATGTTGACAAACTCTGACAAGTTTACTTATCTCGGCCCGATGTTACTTTATTTCGGCCCACTTTGTTTTTGTTTTTGCTTGCTAGGCTTTATTTTCCTACACGTTAATGGGCTTTTTAATTTCGGCCCATGTGTTTCTGTTTCTGTACATTTACACTGGATTTTGAAAATCTGCTATATGTGCGAGTTTGATTTTCATTGTTTATTTTGTTTTAAATGAGTTTACCTGCTCCATCCGTTAAAAAATGATTGACAGTGTCGTTTGATATGAAAGCTTTCTGATATTCATGTATCTCGCATCATTTTAGCAGTTGGAAAGTTGGTGGTCTGAAAAATTCGGCTACCAGCTTGAAAGTGCAGATATGAAGGCAGCAAAACATAATATTTGTTATCAATCATGAATGTTCGATGGTGAGAGCTCCCAAACGATGTGATTAGGAAAACGGAAGAAGAGTGATACAAGTCCAAAGGCATCCTCTAAGAGGAAGAAGACTGAAGAACCTACCAAGGAGCAGTCAAAATCTGCATCAAAGGAGAAACCAGGTTTCTTCATCATCGATTTTTAATACATCTTTCATTTAAGACAAACAATATTTAACTCATTATTCTGTCGCCATGTTTTTATCTAGTAAAAGGAAACGGGGATGACAAAATCAAGAAGCCTCCTCCTAGTCCTAGTGAAGCAGAGCTGAGAAATGCAATTCTTGATGTCTTGAAAACGGTGGACTTTATTACAGTGAGGATTTGGAACCACAAAAATCTCTGTGTTATGTATTTATAATCTTAGAAGATTGATACCTAACAATAGCTACGTTGATTTCTGACAGGCAACGTTCGATGACGTCTTCAAGGGACTTGGTATGAGTTAAGAACTTAAGGTCAGATGGTTTTTTTTCTTCAGCAATGATTTCTTCTTGTAACGTGGTTTTGTTTCAATCTGTTTTTACAGCTCAGAAGTTCAAAATCGATCTCAACCCTAGAAAGGCATCTATAAGGTTGATGATCGAAGATGTGTTTGCAAACGACGCTGGAGATAAGGATGAGGAATAAGAATCAGAAGAAGTAGAGGGCGTAGGAATAGTAAGTAACGTTTAGATAAGCAGTTGTTTGTATTAACTTAGAAAAGTATTATAAATTGTGTTTTATTCATTTGATCAGATCACATAGCTATATATAAATATATATGTATTACAAAATTACAACAACATTTGTCGGAAACACACCTGCAGCTAGAATTCACAGGATGTAAAGCGAAGAACAAATATATGGTACAGACAAAAAAGTTACCGCAAGAGTCTCTCACGACGCCGATGAGAGAGTTTAGCATTAGACCTCTTCTTTGCAGCGGTTGGTTTCGAAGTGGAAGAAGACGAAGCTGAGAGAGACGAGTTTCCGAATTCCTCCTTGTCCTCAATAAAGGCCTTCTTCACAGTCTCCTGTATCTCCATGTACCTTTGCTTCTTCTGTATTCGTTTCTCAGGAGTGTCTTCTCCTTCGCAAGCCAGCTGAGTCAAGTCGTCACAGTCCATGATCTGATCCAGCACTGCCGAACATCGCGGGAAGAAGCGTTTCCCGAGTTCCACTGATGGCTCGAGATAAAAGGGAAACAAAGGTCAGAACATATGGTTTGTTTCAGTTTTTCTATTACAAGTCAACACAAATCCATACCGGTTTTAGAAAGCGCTCTGAGTCTATTTTCATGTTCTTCTAGGATTTTGAAAGGTGCTATCTTTAGGTCCGGTGATGTCCCTATAAACTCGCACGTTCCCTTCATTTGAGCGTTACCCATTGCAACTTGTGCTTCCATTGGAAAGAGACGTTTCGCCAGTGCAACTAAACAGTGGATAACATCATCATCATTACTTCACTCGATTTCCTCACAGAGAAAATTAAGAATGTTGAGAGATATACATTACCTCTGTTTTCAAGATAGAGCAGCCTCATCTTCAGTTCATGGCCAGGCATTGCAAGAGAAGGAGAAACATCTCCAGGGAAGGGATCTCTTTTGTCTGCTTGCTCAAGCATCTCCACGCATAGTCTGCCTTTGAGAGCAACCTTGCATTGCTCAGGGACATTGTTATACTCAGCCGCCTTAGTCACTTGTTTTGCGATCAAGAGAGCGGTTCTACCTTCCGAAGACGTTGTTTCTCTTGCACCTTTCGTCAACAGAGACAGTACCAGATCCGGCTCCTTCCGCATCGCAGCGACATGAAGCACCGTGTACCCCCTTGGGTTCCTACGGTTCACATCCGCGAGCTCAAGGTTCAAGAGATCCGTCGCGGTCTTCACGTCGCAGTACGCAACAGCGAAATGAAGAGCATACGCATCGTCTAGACTGGTGTGGCCTTCTTTCAAAAACTTCTTGACTAGCTCAACATCGTCCGAGTCAAGCGCCTTGTATATGTTGGAGACATGTTTCTCTATCTCAGGTACTTCAAAGCCGAGCTCTTTACGGATTTTGAGAATCTCCTTGACAATGTGCTGAGGCAAGGACTTGTCGAGACTAACGAAATCGACATCAGACTTGACGATGATCTCTCTGCATCTATCCATTAGATTCTTGCAAGCTTTACCACAGATGTTAGCAAGCTTGAGGATGACCAATGTGTCCTCTATCGCAACTTTATCTACAACATCAAGTAAATGCCTCTGCAAATGCAAATCCCAGAGAGTTGAAATTACTGCTACTGTTGTATAAGCTTACAATAGCAAAGATGGTGTTTTTTGTTGTTGTACCTGATACAGTGTAACTAACTCCGGAATCTCGAAGACGAAAGCCAAATAGAGAACCTCCACCATGAAATCCACCGCCGGACGGCAAGCCACGTGGCAGCAGTTCTCGTCTGCGCAATCGGAGACTCCCTTCGGCGGCGGCTTCACTCTGCCGCTGTAAACGTACGCCAGAACAGCAACCACCGAGTCGTATCCCACTTCGTAATCCCTCGCAATCTCCTTCATCTGGAGCTTCACGGCGGCGGCGGCAGTGGGATTCTCGGCGGCTAGAGCGCTCCTGAGGAAGGGGCTTCTCGCTGCGACAAGGCAACGGTGGAAGGATACTTCCCGTCCGCCGGCGAGAACGAATTTTGCGTCGCTGTAGAATGCTTCCGGGGAGTCAAAAACGGACTCGAGGCTGTTGGAGAGGAGTTGCAGCGCCGATACGTCCGGTCCGGTGAGAGATTCGGCCGGATAAACAATTGATGAGTCGGTGTTATCTGTAGGTGCCGGAGCGGCGGCGAAGAAGTCAGTGCTGCTGATTTCGCACGAGTCGGCGAATCCAATGGTATCCATCAATCGTCAGGTGAATTCACAAATCGGAGATCCGAAAGAAACAGATTTTAAACACTTTTCAGTCAACGACGAGAAACCTTAGCAACACGCTTGAGATTGCAGAGGAGAGACAAAGATAAACCATTGACGAAGACACTGAAGATAAATTTTCACGAGAGTCAAGTCAATGAGAGATTTAGAGAAGAGTGGTGGTGACAGATGAAGCTTCGACGGTAGTTTTACGAGCTACCGGTTAATTTCCTGGAAAGGCATTTATCTATTTTTGGTAAACTAAAAGAAAATTAAATAGTGTCCTAAAAAGCAGTTTTAGGCTCATATCTATTTATATAGTGTCCTAAATGACAATATCATACTTAGATATTTAGGCCCATATCTATTTAATTTCGATATCTAAGCCATATCTAATTAATTTCATCTAAGTACAGTAGAACTTTTATAAATTAGTACTCGATAAATTAATAATCATTATAAATTAATAATTTTTGCTAGTCCCAAATCGGGCTAGTGTAAAAATTAAAAAAATTCGATAAGATAATAAGATAATACTTTTTTGAAAGTTCTATGTAAAAATATGGTCCAAATAATAATATAAATTAATAATTATACATATCATCATATATTAATAATATAATATAGTAAAATATAATAATATTGTTGCTAAGTTTATTAAATTTGTTTAATTTATCTTCTAAATTCATTATTATGATATTTTTTGAATGAATTTTACATTGTTGGAAATATTGATTTTGTTTTTTTATAAATATTAAAAATTCAAACTAAAAATATCTCTATAAATTAATAAAATATTAATTTATTGATAAATTAATAATTATTAATTTATCAATTAATTAATAACTATATAAATTAATAAAATTTGAGAGTCCCAACATTATTAATTTATAGAGATCTTATTGTATGATAATGTCAATTTTTTTTAATCGGAACTATAAATACCGTGAAATAGCTTAACAATTATAAGATCCTATTAGGGTTTTACACGTGGGTTGTTCTTATAAATTATGTTGTTGATATTTTGAAATTTTACGTGTAATATTTTAACTTGGAATATATATTTCATATACAATATATATTTGAATGTAATTGTTTTTTTAAACCAATATTTGAATGTAAATGTAGTGATGAAATTGGGTTTACGTTTGAGAGCATGCAAAGATTTTATGGTAGTAAAATTTTGGGTGGTGGAGTATATATATGGCAATTTATGGTGTTCTCATTGGAAGATTATTTTCTGATTATTTTTACTGATGTGGAGGTTTTCCAAGGCTAAGAAATCTTTTTCTTTGAGATTGTTATTCGGTTATTTTTTCTTCGGGTGGATATCTTGATTTAGATTATAAGATTCAAAGCTGTTTATCCATCTGTATTTCAATTTTAAGAAACAAAAACAAAAACTCACACAATATTCAGGAATCCAGCAAAGGTGCAACAAACAAAAAGTTGACTTTCAAATTCCTTATAAATTCATCACCAAACACATTTCAAAATTAACCAAAACACAAGAAACAACAAATATAAAAAAAAAAACAATGTCGACTTCTAAAACCATAACCTATACTCTCTTCATCGCAACACTAGTCGCGTCCTGCAACGCAGCCGCAAACAACACAACGCAACAGCACTTCCCAGCGATTTTAATCTTCGGCGATTCAACCGTCGACACAGGGAACAACAATTACCCATTAAACACAATCTTCAGAGCTACACATCTTCCTTACGGCATTGATCTCCCAGACCACAAAGCTACCGGAAGATTCTCAAACGGAAAACTAATCCCCGACATACTCGCTGCCAAATTCAACATCAAACAGTTTGTTCCTCCATTCTTACAACCAAACCTCTCCGACCAAGAGATTGTAACCGGAGTCTGTTTTGCATCAGCCGGTGCGGGTTACGATGACAAAACCAGTCTCTCGACACAAGCGATACGTGTCTCGTATCAACCCACGATGTTCAGGAGTTACATTGCTCGCCTCAAGAGTATCGTAGGAGACAAGAAAGCTATTGAGATTATAAACAATGCTTTGGTGGTTGTAAGTGCAGGGACTAACGATTTCATCTTGAATTTTTACACCATTCCTACAAGGCGTCTTGAGTACCCTTTCATCTCTGGTTACCAAGAGTTTATACTTAAGAGGCTTGACAATTTCCTCCGGGTAACGTTTCAAACATTTTCTCAGATTATCTCTGATCGAAAACAAAACTGTACTGTCAGATTTTTTGGTTGTTGACATGTCTTTTCCGGTGTGAGTGCAGGAGCTTTACAGTTTAGGTTGTCGGAACATTGTTGTCGCAGGTTTACCGCCGATTGGTTGTTTACCGATCCAAATGACAGCTAAATTCCGCAATATCCGAAGGTTTTGTTTGGAACAAGAGAACAAAGACTCCGTTACATACAATCAGATTCTTCAGAAGCAGTTAGCTCAGACCGAAGCATCTCTTACAGGAATCAAGATCCTTTACGCCAATATCTATGATCCTATAAAGGACATGATGCAGAAACCTAGCAAATACGGTATATATTAGTAGACACAGTTTCTTTCTTGTTCCGCAAGTTATTCTCTGAGATGAAATTTTGGAACTGATTATATGATCTTGAAATAAACAGGGTTTAAAGAAACAAAGAGAGGATGTTGTGGAACAGGCTCATTGGAGACGAGCTTCATGTGTAATGCTCTCTCTCCGACGTGTCGGAATCACTCCGAATTTTTGTTCTTTGACTCGATTCATCCATCAGAAGCTACTTATAATTACGTCGGTGATTTGCTCGACAAGGATATCCGTAACTGGATTGCAGCTTAAGTTAACACGATTTAGAAAACTCTTAACAATGTTATTTGTTTCTTTATGCGAATATTAATGTACTTTTGTATGTTAATCAATATAACTTTGCATCCTAGTGGGTGCTTAGAATTTTTAGCGAAGAACATGACATGGTTGTGGATTTCTTTTTAATCCGCTAAAGTTATGTAACACCTTGGAACAATATACTTTGTCAGTTTATATTAATGATATACTATATGGTATGGTAAACTTAAAAAACAAAAAGGAAGATATGAAACGTGAGGAAGAAGCAAGATCAAAGAGAATTACATACAGTATTTAACTGCCTTTAAAATCTTTCAAAACAGTAATAACTAATTCTCACAGTCACAGCCAATAATTCTAAAAATTTGACTGTAACAGTTACAGATTCATTCATTCATTCATTCACATTTATAATACAGTAAAAAGGTAAAAAAATGGCTGTTAACTCCCTGCAACGCGCATAATTATTTGTAAAATCTTTAACTTTGTTATTTTATCTATTTATAGTATTATCATGTTTATCTTTTTCTTTATTTTGTATTGTTTTATATTTATTTTTGTTTTTTTCTTCAAATTGATGATGTTACTCTTGTTTTTCCCTACTCAATATGTGCACCTAGTGCAGCTCTTTTTTTTCATATAAATCGTACTATCTGTATCTATTTAATCTTACTGAAAACTTTTGTTCAATTATTTTTCTTTTTTTTTAAATTGTTTATTTTTAACAAAATCAACAAGACAATTGTAACATCAATCCTACCCACTCTATTTATTTTTCATTTGAAATCATATATTTATATCAAAATCAGTGTTATAACAGCATGGTTAAATTGAAGATCTAAATATTAACACTGGAATTTTGAAAAACTTTTTGGTGGAACTGAAAAAGTTATTAAAGATTCTATTCATTATATATACCTTAAACATTCTATTCATTATATAAACGTGAGATCCATGGATTTGTCCTACATATTCTAAAATTTATTCATTAGGGGGTTTGTCAAATGTTATATAAACTTATAAAAATCATAGTAAATACAAAATTTTAATTTATATATTGAGAGTTGACAAAAAAATCACATATTTTAGATACATAAATGGATTTCTTTTCCGGTACCTTGACATTATTGGGCTTTTGACTAAATTGCATTTAATGTCCCATCTCTTCTTCCATTCAGATCAACCCTCTCGTAGTCGGAACAAAACGGAAAACAGTCGTAATTGACATATTCCGTCTTCACTTGATAAACATTCATCTTCTCCGTGTTTATGTTGAAGGAACAAAAACGATCCCTTTTCGATATTCCTATCTCTTCGTTGCTTAATGTCCACAACATCTTCTCTCCTAGGCCCATATTTTTCATATCTTTCACTTTCACCCACGCCTTTTCAAAACTGCTTCTCAAAACCCATAACCGGTTTAACTGTTCCCCGTCACCGGTCATCCACGAACGAATAACACCTAACTTCCCTTCGTATCTGACCAATTTTGGATAAACACCGAACTTCGGAGTTTGAAAGAACGACCAAGTTTCTGTTTTGAGACAGAACCGAATCACTTTGTCGTCCCCCGATAACCAGTGCAAGCATCCAGTAGCTTCTACTGGGTTTGAATAAATAAGACCGTCTTCTCTTGGTAGACGCAAATTGTTTATTTTCTTCCACACAAATGAATCGGAATCGAAGATTTCGCAGACGAAAGTTCTACGACTCCGATTCAATATTCCCGGTAACCTAGAGAGCCTGAGTATTTTATACCGGAAAGGGTTCGATTGGGTTACCGCTAAACCGAACGAGACTGCGCAAGTCTGCATTATTGAATCCGGTATGATATGATACTGCTTCGTTGTTGGTTTGCAGACTACGTACTCCGGCACACTCGGACCTGTTTCGTTAACACAAAGCAATATCCCATTACTTGCATCGCAAGCTACGATTTTTGCTTTTCCCGGTGGTAGAAAATCGATAGAGACTCCGTTGTTTTCAGAATCTTTCCTCTCATGGGTGTGAAATTTGTATCCTCCTTCGTTGTATTGCACGAAGTAACCGGAGATAGAATTGGTTCTGTGGAGATTGAGATTGAGAAACCAAGACTCGTAGCTTCTCTTGTTGCAATCTTTGTTCAGAAGCCTGAATTTTCCAACATGCGAAGCCGGAAGACGAGAGAGAATCTCCAGAATCATGTCTTGAACCATGACCGAAGAACTCATATCCCTAAAAAGAAACAAAATCAGTAGCAGTAGAGAATCACGAAGTGTTCGTGCATGAAGTGATGCCAATCTATATAATATATACATATATATCATTTTTTCTTTAGAGAAAAGTACCAAAATTACCTTTTATATTCGCTTTTAACTTGAAAAAGGAAACTTGAAGAAGTGAAAGAAACAGAGAGGGGAAAAAAAGTAAACAGTCACTCCTTAATTTCCATTAAAACAATACAAAATTAAGTAGTTTTTCAACCGTCACCAATGGAAAAGAGTTGTGTCATTCCATGAAACTCACCCCTTCACTTTACATACTCACACACTCGTAATTTATACTAAAATACAACTAATTGACAGTAGCTTGAGCTCAAAGTTTCTATTTTGAAAACTAGCTTGAGCACAAATATTTAAACATCCATTGATGAAAATCATTAAATATCATTAGTATCTTGAGCCCAAAGTTTCTACTTTGACTTTTAATCAAGCTAGATTAGGTCAACCAATATTTAGGTAATTTGTAATAATTACTGTGTTATCTTTTTTTTCTTTTTCTAATTTGGTTTTTTGTGTCTTTTTGTTGATATCCTGATATTAGGTCAATCAATATTAATTTGCCCAAAAAAAAGGTCAATCAATATTTTTGATTATCTCAAATATTTTGTCTTTTTTGTTGATATTCTGATATTAGCCTATTAGGTCAATCAATATTCTTTTATTAATTACAGTATTTCTTTATTTATTGAATAAAATAATTACGACGAAAGTCGCGGGAACACTTCATAAATGGTTCCCAGAGAGTGCGGACAACGGCTAACACAAAACAAACCAAATCAAACCTGAAGAAAACGTTACACTTTTGCAATTAATAAAAATATTTTTCCAGGAACAAAAAGAAATTCTGCTTTCTCTGCAAAACCGTTACAGAGAGACAGACAGCGAAAACCTTTGAAGAAAAATTTCTCAGAAGCAGCAGCAACCCCAAAGAGAAGTGGGAGAAATTAAAAAAACATCTTTTTTTTTCCTCTTTCTCTCTCCTTGAAGCTTATTTTGATTCGTAGGTTATACGGTAAGATCTAGGTTTTTTTTTTTAGCGGTTGATTTCTTTAGTTTGAACCCTAATTTTGAGATATATTTGGTGATCAGGTTGGAGATTGTTGATGTTTTGGTTTGATTCGATTGCTCAACGTTATGATTTGATTTCTTCCATCCTTGAACAACAACAAAAGATCTTCATTACAGGTTTTTTTGTTTTTTTCTCTTGTTTCTGTTCCATATATGCTTTATAAAATGATCAACGGTTGAAATGTAATTGAAATTTCCTCTGCTTTTGATAGTTTTGAGAGAGATTTTGACTGCTTTAAAAGCCCTGTGATGGAGCAATTCAGGCAAATAGGCGAGGTTCTAGGAAGCTTAAACGCGCTTATGGTGTTACAAGACGACATCTTGATCAACCAAAGACAATGCTGTTTGCTGTTAGATGTCTTCAGTTTGGGTTTCAACACTGTAGCCGAAGAGATCAGACACAACCTGAAGCTTGAAGAGAAACATACCAAATGGAGAGCCCTTGAACAGCCTCTAAGGGAGCTGTACAGAGTGTTTAAAGAAGGCGAGATGTATGTTCGAAACTGTATGTCTAACAAAGATTGGTGGGGCAAAGTAATCAACTTTCACCAGAACAAAGATTGTGTTGAGTTTCACATACACAACCTCTTCTGTTACTTCCCTGCTGTGATCGAAGCCATCGAGACAGCTGGAGAGATCTCTGGTCTTGACCCTTCTGAGATGGAGAGAAGGAGAGTTGTGTTTTCGAGAAAGTATGATAGAGAGTGGAATGATCCTAAGCTGTTTCAATGGAGGTTTGGGAAACAGTACCTTGTTCCGAAAGATATTTGCAGCCGGTTTGAGCATTCATGGAGAGAAGACAGATGGAACCTTGTCGAGGCCTTGCAAGTGAAGAGAAAGTCGAAGAGCGATGAGATTGGGAAGACGGAGAAGCGTTTGGCTGACTTTCTGCTGAAGAAACTGACCGGACTGGAACAGTTTAACGGTAAGCTCTTCCCGAGTTCGATACTTGTTGGCTCCAAAGATTACCAAGTGAGGAGGAGATTAGGTGGTGGTGGTCAGTACAAGGAGATTCAATGGCTAGGTGATAGTTTCGTGCTGAGACATTTCTTCGGTGATCTTGAGCCTTTGAACGCAGAGATATCTTCTCTGTTATCGCTCTGTCACTCGAATATACTTCAGTACCTTTGTGGATTCTACGATGAAGAGAGGAAAGAATGTTCTCTGGTCATGGAGCTAATGCACAAGGACTTGAAAAGCTACATGAAGGAGAACTGTGGACCAAGAAGGAGATACCTCTTCTCTGTTCCCGTTGTGATCGATATAATGCTTCAAATCGCGAGAGGGATGGAGTATCTTCACTCGAACGAAATCTTCCATGGAGACTTGAACCCCATGAACATTCTTTTGAAAGAGAGAGGCCACACGGAAGGTTACTTCCACGCCAAGATCTCAGGTTTCGGTTTGATCTCAGTCAAAACTCAGTCTTTCACTCGAGCTTCCTCTAGACCAACCACTCCTGATCCTGTGATATGGTACGCACCTGAGGTTCTAACAGAGATGGATCAAGACCTCAAAGGCACAACTCCTCCGAGATCGAAGTTTACGCATAAAGCCGATGTTTACAGCTTCGCTATGGTGTGTTTCGAGCTTATCACAGGTAAAGTTCCCTTTGAAGAAAGTCATCTCCAAGGAGATAAAATGGCGAGGAACATCAGAACGGGAGAGAGACCTCTCTTCCCTTTCCCTTCTCCTAAGTATCTTGTTAGCCTAATCAAACGGTGTTGGCACTCAGAACCGAGCCAGCGTCCGACTTTCTCTTCGATTTGCCGGATCCTCCGGTACATCAAGAAGTTCCTCGTTGTGAATCCTGATCAGGGTCACATTCAAATCCAGACTCCGCTTGTTGATTGTTGGGACTTGGAAGCAAGATTCTTGAGGAAGTTCTCACTCGAGTCAGGAGGGTCTCACGAGGAATCAGTAGCGCAGATACCGTTCCAGCTTTACTCGTACAGGGTTGAAGAGAGAGAGAAGATGAGACCAAACTTTAACAAAGAGGAGAACTCGGAGACTGGCGAGTCTGCTTCGGAGAGCGTTTCAGTGGTTGAAGATCCACCGACGATGCCAACGTACACAAAGTCGTTGTGCTTAGATGCGATATCAGAGTACTCAGATACAAGATCGGTTTACTCTGAAGCTCCCATGAAAAAGGTCTCAGCTTTAAAGAAAAGTGGAGACATTGCGAAACTCAGGAGAAATTCAAGCGCAGGTTAGATATATACATTTTATGTAACCAAACCAAACCACTTGACGATGAATCAACCGAAAAAGTTTAATACTTTCGATTGTGTTTGCAGGTTTACGGTCTTCAGGATCATCGCCGGTAAAGCCAAGATCAACACCGAAACTGTCGTCGCCGTTAAGTCCATTTGGAAAAAGCAGCAAAGCAAGGAAGGATACTAGATTGCCTTTGAGTCCTATGAGCCATTTGAGCCATGGAAGACGTAGACATCTCTCTGGTCCTGCTTCTGACTCTGAGCTAACATAGCCTTTTTAAAAACACACACTTTTTTTTTTTTTTTTTGCAAAAATCTTAAACAAGAAGAGGCAGAGATTATAGTTTCAGTTCTTTCATTATAATCCCATTTTTTTGTGTAACATCTTGAATATCATTTCTTTTCTTTTTTGTTGTTGTAGATTTTAGATACGCCTCTTCTTCATTTTATAGCTTCTGCAAGTTTTACTCTGTTTTTTCTTTTGGAGTTGGGTTAAATATTTAAAAACAAGAGCTTTACCATTTTTTCCGACATTGTTATTCCGATATAGGAGCTCGCTGAAACAAAGTCGTGCGTTTTAAGGTTATGTTCGATTATTTGCTACTGGGGAAGAAGATTAAAGATTGGATCTTGCGATTGCATTTGGAATGTCCTCGCAGACGCAACTACGTGTGATTATCAATGAGTTCTCGAGGAAATTTCAAACGAAGTTGAGTACCCAGAAGCTGCAGAGCTTTGTTACCAAGTCCCAACTCGCGCGTGATCCCTTTTTCGCGACGCAGCTTGTCAGACTCTATGCGTTAAACGATGATCTTATCTCTGCACGCAAACTGTTCGACGTATTTCCCGAGAGAAGCGTTTTCCTCTGGAACTCTGTTATTCGAGCTCACGCTAAAGCTCATCAGCTTGGCACCGCCTCGTCGCTTTTCTCTCAGATGCTGAGTTCTGATACGAAACCGGACAGCTTCACCTATGCGTGCTTAGCTCGTGGCTTTTCAGAGAGTTTCGATACCGAGAAACTGAGTTGTGTTCATGGGATTGCTGTTGTATCAGGTCTTGGATTTGATCAAATCTGCGGCAGTGCGATTGTTAAAGCTTATTCAAAAGCTGGGCTTATTGTTGAAGCAAGTAAGTTGTTTGTTTCAATACCAGAGCCTGACGTTGCTCTATGGAATGCTATGATTTCTGGATATGGATGCTGTGGAATTTGGGAGAAAGGAATCGATTTGTTTAACTCAATGTTACACCGACGAAATCGACCTGACTGTTATACAATGGTAGCCCTAACGACTGGAGTAACTGATCCTAGTTTATCTCTCATTGCTTGTTCTGTTCATGGCTTTTGTTTGAAAGTAAATTTAGATTCTCATACTTATGTTGGTTCTGCTCTAGTGAGCATGTACTCGAGATGCAGGTGCATAGCCTCTGCTTGTAGAGTGTTTGGTAGCATCTCTGAGCCTGATGTAGTTGCATGTTCTTCTTTGATAACGGGTTATTCGAAATGTGGAAATCACAAGGAGGCTTTGTGTCTGTTTAGTGAGCTGAGAGGGAGTGGTAAGAAGCCAGATTGTGTTCTCGTTGCGGTTGTGTTAGGGTCTTGTGCTGAGTTATCGGATTCGCTCTACGGAAACAGAGTGCACGGTTATGCTATTCGACTAGGACTAGAGCTTGATATAAAGGTCTGCTCTGCTCTTATAGACATGTACTCAAAATGTGGGTTTCTTGATTCCGCCATGGCTCTTTTCGCGGGAATTACAGAGAAAAACATTGTTTCTTTCAACTCTGTTATTTTGGGTCTTGGCGTGCACGGTTTTGCTTCATCTGCGTTTGAAAAGTTCAGTGAGATGCTTGAGATGGGATTGCAACCCGACGAGGTCACTTTCTCTGCTCTTCTTTGTACATGTTGCCACTCAGGTCTTTTAAACGAAGGTCAAGAGATCTTCATGAGAATGAAGAGTGAGTTTGGAGTTGAGCCCCGAACAGAGCATCATGTTTACATTGTGAAGCTAATGGGAATGGCTGGAAAACTGGAAGAAGCATTCGAGTTTGTAATGTCATTGCCAAAACCGATTGATTCAGGGATTTGGGGAGCGTTGCTGTCATGTTGTGAAACTCATGAGAACACTCGTTTGGCTGAAGTTGTAGCAGAGAAGATATTGGAGAATGAGGACGAGAGAAGAAGAAGTGTTTACAACGTTATGCTCTCTAATGTGTATGCGAGATATGGGAGATGGGATGAAGTAGAAAGGCTTAGAGATAGAGTTTCAGGAAGCTTCAGAGGAAAACTGGCAGGAATCAGCTGGGTTTAAACTGAGCAGGGAAACAGATCATTGCTTGTTTGGGTCCATTGTGATATACAGATGAAGAAGACGCAGAGAGTGTTGTACTCTTGAAGCTCTCTTTTCCCAATCAAACACGGATTCGTTTGGAATCAAGAATAACATTGTAGCATTATGCAACTGAAAATAAAATTTGAAAATATTTTTTGACATAGAGTTGGAAATGCTTTTAGACATCTCCATTGTCAGATACTCAAAAAAAATATCTAAACCATTAAATGTTATTAAATATAAACAAAACAATTAATTAATTTTTAATGCTAAAAATAAAATTAAACCATTTACAATTTCAGAAGTAGATAGAAGTCTTTAGAATATGTTTTTTGTGCTTCTTATTTAAAAACTTTCTATCAATTTTTTCTCACTTTTCTACTTTTTTTTAATTATTTTATTGTTTAAGAACCGTTTCTCATTTTTTAAATTGTAATAGACATGCTCTTAGGTTCAAAAACCTTTAATCCATTTCGGATTTGCCTTTGCAATTTAAGAATCCATCATGTATATCCTTTTTTCTTATTCTAATTTTCAGAAAAATAAAATAGCTTGGCAGTGAAGTGGCTCAAACTCAGGTTCTCAGAATTCCTTCTTCCCTTGAGATCTCAAACCGTAAACGAGATTTAACAATTGTTAGTTGGGTGATTGTGTAACAAATCAAATACACCCAAAAGTTATTATGTTTTCCAGAGATCCATATTTGTAAAAATTTGTGGGTTTGTTGTGCAAAACATAAACTTATACATACACATATACTTTGAGAGAAGATGTTAACAAACGCTTTATTATATGAGAAAGTAAAAAATGGTTAATAAATGGAAGAAGTAAATCATCAAGAGATGGAAGATGATCATGGTGAAGAACTGCCACCAAACATAATAAAACCAACAAGAAATGTAAGGAATTTTCAATCTCTTCTTCCTTTGAGTCATGTAAAATTTCAGTCATGTTGCTTCTTCCTCTGTAAATTTTCAGTCTTCACCACCTAACTCTGTTTTTTGCTTACAGCTGTTGGAGGGCTTGGAAACGATGGTCACCTCTTCCTCTGAAGAAGGCACCAGCCCATCCTCTTCCCATAAAGAGTGGATGGACTAGGTCTGCTCAACTCACTGATGATGATTTGATTTAGTATCGGTGTAATTTGATTTATAATATGAAGACCAGTTTGACTTTGGTTAATAATAATTTTGACTTTGACTTTTGTCAAATATGGTTTTAATCGTCTTTCTTGCCTAAATGCGCCAAACGAAATCAAATAAAAAACCATTGTAAGATATGATAAGCTCATTGCAAGATATGTTTCTGGACATGGAACATGGCGATGCAGAACTTAAGAGGGAACTGGCTTGAGCGTGGCCTGTTCGTGCCACTCACCATTTAAGTTTGACTGCCACAATTTGACCATCCCATCGCTTCTAGTGCTAGCTAAAGTCATGCCACTCATGTCCCATTCCATCTGCCAAACCTGGCCAGGAAACATCGAAGCAGTGTTGTTTACTTACCTTTTACTGGAATGAGATTGAAAGCTTAGACCCAATAGTTTTTCATTATCCGAAAATCCAACAAACACCGAAATCAGTCGTTTTTTTCATTATTGTCATACTGTGGTTTGGGGACCATTATTGTCATGCTGTGAAGTTCATGGGAACACTCATTTGGCTGAAGTTGTAACAGAGAGTGGACTGTAACAGTAGAGAATTAGCAGTAGATTACAAGAATAAAAATCCTCAAGCAGACTTGTTGTTGTTGGTTGATTCCTTCTTCTCATTAAACTCGTTACAGACTGCAATGATTCTTCCAGTCCACACATGAAGATCGTCTTGGTTCTGATGAATGTACCATTCCAACTGTTTGATGTGACTAGCTTGACTTGAGCCTCCTGATGATAATGATGATGTATCAATGGTATCTGCAATGACAGCTAGCAAAGCTGCTAAAAACTTACACATCTTCAGTTGCAGACTGGCAAACATATCGGAGTCGAAGATCCTAGAGTAAACCCAGGTGCACTTTGACTTTCTATCAGCCTCGTCTAAGCTTGGATTCTCGTAGCTTTCTAAGATCTCCATGATCGTTTCCAGGGCTTTTTGGAAGAGTGATGCCGAAGCACATCATTTGTCCAAACCACTTTGCTAATGTTTGGCCCTGTTCGTTTGATCATTTGGCTGGATTATCTAGATGAAGATGGGAGTTTATGTTCGTTTTGTAATTAAACCAAAAATCATCTGGATGATCCATCCAAATGAGTTTTAAAATTTTAGGCTAAATTTTAAAAATCAGTTGGATGATCAAAATTGACTTAGTTGACTGAGGATGATTCAGCTAAAAAGAGCAAATGACAAAAATAACATTCACTAAAATAAGTAATTACAACCAAAACTAGATCTATCTTTCGACTCTTTCACTCTCAATCGTGATTTCTCTCTAGTGCCGTCTTCTTTCTCGCTCTCTCTGACGCTGATGCCGTTCTCTCTCGCTCTTTCCGACACCGACGCCGTACTCTCTCACTCTCTCTGACGCCGACGCCGTTCTCTCTCGCTCTCCCCGACGCCGACGCCGACACCGTTCTCTCTCGCTCTTTCCGATGCCACGACTTTCGACTACTCTCTCTGGCGAGTCTCGGGTGAGCTCCTCTCTCTCTCTCTCCGATAATGGATTTTTTTTGCTTTGATTCTATTGATGGTTTTGGTTTAGGATAAGTTTTTTCATCTGGGTTTTGTTGCTTTGATTCGATTGATGGTTTTGTTTGTGTTTTTTGATATGTCGTTGCATGTGATCCTGAATTCATCCGATAGATGGTTTTGTTTGCTTTGATCCGATATGCTTATATCTGATATTGTTTTCATCGAAATTGGTCATCATTCTCTTTTTGCTTTGATTAAATTGTCTTAGGAAGCTTTATATCTAGGTATCGTATGATGTGAATTCTTTGTGTGAATGTGTGAATCAATATGATTTGTTCTTTGTTTTCTTGTTCACGTTATCAATAATATTCGATATGGCTTTCTGTTTTTTGTATAAGAATCTCAATAATTTGCTACAAATGCTTATCATGGATTGTATTGCAAATTTTGATGTAGAATTTACTTGTTCATAGCCGCTTTCAAGCTCTGTTATTCTCCCCTTTATTTTCTGAGCTGTAGGAAGTAATCATTTTCTCTGTTCTTTGCTCTCTTGTTTGTTTCTTTCTATATTCGTGTGACTGAAGGATGCAAGGTCTGCCCATTGTTCCAAGAGTTTTGGGTTAAACAGACTACTAGCCGAAACAGTTTCACGCACCTGTTCCTCCTTTGGGCCAGATGTGACTGGAGTCTCTGTACTCGGAGGTGTTGCCATTGGAGGAGGTCTCACAAAAGGAAGTAGAGAATTGATCTTTTGTGTTTCTTAATCAAACGTTTCACGGTTTAACCTAATAATTGTAAGAGAAGAGATAACCTAATGGGTTTGGGCCTGTTCAATATCAATATCAATGTGCAGATCCATACCTTTGTATTCGTAGAGGGATTATGCTGACTTTGAAAAGCCTCTCAGTGAAAACCGAACAAGGCAGAGCTATTTTCCAGCCTACTAACCGGATTAAACCGGGTCTATCTGAAATAATTATTTGAGGATATTTGAGTTTGATTGGTTTTTTTATCATATAACGAAACAAAAGGTGGTTATGCTCGTAGTTTTTACAAAAATAAAAAAAGGACGTTTAGGTAAATAGAAAGTCAAAAATAAACAATTGATTCAGTTTATCTTCTTCTTTTTTCTTCCCTTTTTTCTTCTTATCACACAACCTCTAATATTGTTCTCTCTTTCTGCTAAAATACTCTTTTTCTAATTCAAAACAAATAAAAAAAAAAAGAATTCAGAATTATTAGATCAAATTTTGGTTTCAGTTTTTCCAGGGCTGAGGAGAAAGGACTATTCGATTTTGAATTGACCTGGTAATCCTTTTAACCTTCTTTATGCAAAGTCAATTGTCAATGTTTTAGAGATTTTGATTTTGCTGAGATATTCGATATAGAACAAACAATTTAAATCAAGCGGTGGTACGAAGGTATAATCCAGTTTCAGTTTGTTCAATTTTTCATACCTTTCTGATCGAAATCGACGTCTGGTGTCTTTATTTTGATTTAATCCTTACATTTTACGAAAACATGAAAGCATTTTAAACTATTTATTCTCTAGTTCCAGGTTTTATCTCATGATTCATGTATTTCTTTTCTTGGGAGATAAGTAATTCAAAAAAATAGTATATTCAAAAAAGAGAAAGCGTGATAAACACGTTATTGCAAAAAAAAAGTTGCTCTCTTCTTGGTCATTTTGTAGGAAGATTATTTATCTTGCATGTTCAAATGCAGAGGCAAGAACAAGCATCGTGAGAATCTGTTTCATATTTCTTGGAGATGGAGCGAGCAAAATCAGGTAATTAAGATTTGTTTGAATCGATGCTCCAAGAGAATTTAAATCACTGAAACTATTATATCTTTTTCATCTTTGAAAATTGTTTATGTAAGGTTTTGTTAGTTTTCTTGTTATCTCTGCAGACGTGGAGAAGAAAGTGTCACGACTTGTGAAGTTCCTCCAAAACAAAAACAAGATTCCAAGGGATTCAAAGAGAGAGCTTCTTGCGATTGCTACCGATCTTCAAGAGCAGTGCCAAACTCTTTATTCTACAATTGATGGTTTTCAGCAAGATGTTGATCCGAGAAGCGGTGGTGGCAGAAGAAAAGGGAAACCTCATTCGTCGAGTTCGGATTTAGAATACTACTCTTCGGAGGAAATAGAGAATCTTGCTGAGCAAGAAAGCGAGATCGATGAGCTTAAAAGCAAGCTTGAAGCGTTGAGGAATGAAGCTGAAGAGAAAGAGCGGGAACTGAGTTTGCGCGTGAAGGAGCTAGAACGAGAGCTAAGAGACGCGAAAGCCGAGTGTGATCGAAAGGGAGATTTAGAAGAAGAGATTGCGATGAAAGCTAGCGAGAGCACGAAATTAGGAGAGAAGAACAAAGGGCTTAGATCTCAGATCTCTGGTTTGGAACTTGTTCTGAAAGAGACAGGAGATGAGATATCAACGCTTGTGAACAAGTTTGGGAAGAGTGAGATAGGTCTAACTTCGAGGATCGAAGATTTGAAGTGCCAGTTGAGAAACTTGGAGCAAGAAATAGGTTTCCTTCGTGCACGTAATGCAAATTTGGCTGGAAGCTTTGAAGCTAAGAGAGTCGAGGAGAGAGAACGTGTCAAGGGTTTGATGGATCAGGTCAATGGTATGAAACATGAGCTTGAGTCACTGCGGAGCAAGAAAGATGAATCCGACTCAAAGTTGAAGAACAAAGTCGGAGAAGGTGCAGAGACGAATATGCAACTGAAGAGCCTGAAAGAGGAAACAGAGGAACAGAGGAAGGAGATTGATCATCTTAGAGGAGAAAATCAGAAGCTGCATGCAAGAATCACAGAGCTCGGTTCATTTGAGACGAAGAACGCTAATGAACTAGTCGAAGATGAAAGCAAGAAGAAACTGAACGTTCAAGATTCTGATCAGAAGAAACTGGTCAAGGAAAAAGATGACACTATTCGCAGGTTATCGGCAAAACTCAAGCAACAAAAGGACACCATTGACAAGTTCACTGAGGATCTCAAGCAATCGAAACGCTGGTCGTTAGGCTCAAGCCGGGAATTGAAGCTGAATCCAAGTGCCCTAGAGAGGAAAATGGAGGAATTGGCTGAAGATTTCAGGATGAAGATTGAGGATCATATTAGGATACTGTACAGGAGGATCCACGTAGCTGAACAGATACACTTAGAGAGCAAGAACGCCTATATCAAAACACGAGACTTGGCTCAAGAAAACAGAGAAAACAGAGAAAGATTGAGTTTTTACGAAACCCATTTCAGGAAAATCAAAGACGTCTGGGAAAATGGGTACGAGAGATCGATGAAGAAGCTAGAAGAAGGAGAGGAACACACGAACAGAGTTGCTAGATTAGCCGAAGAGATTGATTCAGCAAAGATTTGGGTGCGCGAGAAGAAGAGCGAGTCAGAGACTCTAGCCGCAAAGCTAGAATGCAGAGAGGCTCAAGAAACTTTGTTGAAAGAGAAGTTATCTAAGCTAGAGAAGAAGCTTGCGCAAGAAGGAAAAGAGAAACTGCGTATAGCAAAGGTTTTGAGCAAATATGAAGTGAGAAACAAAGAGCTTGAGATATATGTGAAGGGACGAGAAGTTGAATTGTTGAGCTTAGGTGAAGAGAAGAGAGAAGCCATAAGACAACTCTGTATTCTTGTGGATTATCAACGAGATCGATACGATGAACTCAAGAAATCATCATCAATCTTAAAAATTTCTCAAAATACCTAATCTTCTTTGTTTTTTTTTCCTGTTTTTTTGTTCCACAAACTGAATTTTCTCACATGATTTTCTTGTATATATTTATATAAAAAGTAATATTAACAAATCATTTTATTTGTTTTGTTCCTGAGATTTATGTTTTTTACATTGCTGATGAAATGTAATTCAGATTCTACTGTTGACTTTGTAGAATCGTTCGAATGGTTTTGACTAACATTAATTGGATCAGACAAACCAATATCTAGGCATGTCAAACGGGCTATCCGAAACTCATAAAGCGTGTATATATTTAAATCCGATCCGATATATTATCGGGTCTATATTTTGAAGTCCGGCCCAGCTCTATCAAGGTTATCGAGCTTTTTCGGGTTTTTTAGAAAAATAAAATAAATTTTTAAAATAATCATAAATATAGTTTTATCAAATCTGAAAGCAAAACTTTAACTTATAAATTCATATAAATTCTAATATCAAATATAATTAAAAGTAATGTAAATAGTAGAAATAGTAGAATCAAGATGAGAATCTTCAGGATGAAGGTAGGAGTGCTTCTTGAAACTAGTTTAGTTTGAGCATTGATGTTATACGAAAGCACACAACTAAAAATTAAGATTTTATATTAATAAAAAGTATTATAAAAAAATAATAACTCTAATTTTTTAAAATTTTAAAGATTATTTATTAATAAAAAATTTTAAATAAAATTATAATATAAAGTACAAGATTTTTTGGGTAAGCCCGAGACTGATCGGGCTTAAGCCCAAATGGACTTAGCTCGAATGAGTTTAGCCCAAAAAACCCGATTTTTTTGAGCTTTTATACCAAAATCCAAACCCGATACTTTTCAGGGCCAAATTTCAGGTTTTGGTCCAAATTGACATCCTTACCAATATCTCGACTCTCTTGCTTGTGAAATTTCATCAAGGAGAAGATCTAAATTGCAAAACCATCGGCGTATACAGAAATTGGGCCTTGAATTAAGGCCGGGCCTGAAATAAGCCCACATTGTCCAAATCCTTCATATCTTTCTGAGGAACATTCTGGAGAATGCCAGCTGTGAAGCGGACACGCTCGGCTGGAGAGAGAGTCATGAATGGCAAAAACGTAATAAAGCCTGAAGCGAAGGGGCGTTTGTGGGAAATTTTAAGAATATCTCAGTCGCAGTGTTTTCTTCTGGCATTTAAGTCCCAAATCTCTCTCTCTCAAGTTGCATTCCCTTTTTGTTAATCACATAAATCAAAATCATTTTAAGATAATCATACTTTTCTTCATTTCTTCTGGATTCTCTTTCTGCCAGCATCACCACCGACTCTTTTTTTATTCTTCCAGGTAAAATTTCCGATCACGAGTGATGATGATTAATTACTTTTTTACTAGATCAGTATTTAGCTCGCGCCTCTGATTATGAACACAACTAAGGATTGATTATATTTTCATCTTTAGTGATTTGTTTAGTTTATATGCAAAAACTCTGGTTATATGTGTATGCTCTGTGAGGTTTTGGGTGATTTGGCTTATTGAGAAATTAAGATTTTGGGGAAAATGTTCAATCCAGCTTCCCTTTTGGTTTCCAAAATGCTATTTTTTTATAATTACAATTTTGCTGTCTCTATTATTGTGTCTGATATATCATGAAAGCTGTCTTTTTTATCATTATTATGTATGTGTGCCTTTCTGGTTCCCATTCCCTGAAAGTTTCTCTTGGTGGCTCCACTTTACTTCTACACTTTCTTAACTACGAGTCTATATGATCTTAAATCATTTTTTAATTGAGTGTTAGTACCGTGATAATTAAACAACTTTATCAGATTTTATTAAGCTAAATTGTCTAAAGAGTGCCAACTTTCAATGTTTTTCAGCTAATATTAGACTCATTGCTCAACTTTGGATATATTTATCAGTAAAAATATCACATGGATTGATCTCTCTGTTCTTATGTGATATTAGTAAACTTGAGATTGTATCATTGATGGTAGATTGAGAGTATCTATTTGGATTTTTGAGGGAGGATATGTTACCTCTCAAACATATAAAAATTTCATTTTTGTTACCAGAGGATGTATCCATCTATCTGTCACACTTGTATGGCATAAAATATTAATTCTTCATTCTAAATATTTGTAGTCCCATTTATCATTTATGTAATTTGTTTGTTGGTCATGTCAGGCTCCTATTGAATCATACAGTTGACAATCAGCCCACATTTATATTAGTTTACTAATTATAGTTTTGATATTTTCCTTTAAATGAAAATGATGGGATCTTTTTGTTATTTTATCAAAATATTTCCATTTGTTTTGAACAAGTTAAGAGTTTCTTCTTCTCACATATGTCTTCTCTGTGAAATTGTGCTTCATGTTGTTCCAGGTGTCTCGGGAATGACTTTTCAGTTCCAAATCTCAAAACTTTTGTATTAAGTTCGTTTGATTGTTTGGAGAGACTGAAGAAGAAATGAGAAAGCTTAGTATTAGAGACTCCTTGAAATCTTTCTTTGAGCCTCATCTTCATCCTGACAATGGTGAAATGCTCAAAGTAACAAAAACTGGTAATTTTTTCACTTGATCTGGTCTTTTGGTTCTTACTTCTTAGACTTGTTTAACATGAACAAGAAACTTTGATCAAAAAATGCAGAAATAGATGAGAAAGTGGACAAAATCTTGGGAATTGTTGAGAGTGGAGATTTTGAGGAAGATGAATCCAAAAGAGTAGTGGTTGCAGAGTTAGTGAAGGAATTCTACAAAGAGTATGAGTCCTTGTATAGCCAATACGAAGATCTAACGGGTGAGATCAGGAAAAAAGTCCATGGGAAAGGAGATGACGAGAGTTCTTCTTCTTCGAGCTCAGACTCTGACTCTGATAAGAAGAGCAAGAGAAACGGGCGGGTCGAGAATGACATGGACTCGGTTAAGAAACAGATCGAAGCTGCAAATCTTGAAATCGCTGACCTGAGAAGGAAGTTAGCAACAACTGTTGAAGCAAAAGAAGCTGTAGAATCAGAGCACCAAGAAACTTTGAAGAAGTTAGAGGAATCAGAAGAGATCTTTGGTAATCTGAGGCTTGAAACTGAGAAGTTAGCGACTGAGAACAAAGAACTGAACCAGAGACTGGACGTTGCAGGCGAGACGGAATCCGATCTGAAGAAAGAGAGAGATGGACTGGAAGCAGAGCTTGATAAGAAGTCTAAAGATGACGAGAGTGCACTGGAAGCAAACAACCGTCTACAGGCGCAAAAGAACGAAACCGAAGCAGAGCTAGAAAGAGAGAAGCAGGAGAAAGCAGCGTTACTGAATCAGATAAACGATGTGCAGAAAGCATTGTTAGAGCAAGAAGCTGCATACAACACGCTGAGCCAAGAACACGAACAGATCAACGGTTTGTTCCAAGAACGAGAAGCAACGATCAAGAAGCTAACTGATGATTACAAACAAGCCCGGGAGATGTTGGAAGAGTACATGTCGAAGCTGGAGGAGACAGAGAGAAGAATGCAAGAGACGGGTAAAGATGTTACGTCGAAGGAAAGTGAGATTGTAGATCTCGAAGAGACGATGGAGAGTCTACGTAACCAAGTAGAGATGAAAGGAGAAGAGATAGAGAGTTTGATGGAGAAAATGAACGACATTGAGGTTAAACTGCGTTTGTCAAGCCAGAAACTGAGAGTAACAGAGCAAGTGCTGAGGGAGAAAGAAGAGGAGATGAAGAGCATAGAAGCTAAGCATTTAGAGAAGCAAGCATTGCTCGAGGAGAAAATCGCCATGACTCACGAAACATATCGTGGTTTGATCAAAGAGATTTCAGAGAGAGTGAATTCGACAATTGTGACTCGGTTCCAAACACTGTCTGAAAAACTTGAGCAGACGCACGGAAGCTATGCGGAAACGGTGGTTGAAGCAACGAAGATGCTTTTGAAGGCGAAGAAGTGTTTGACAGAGATAAAGAAGGAGAAGGAAGAGATGGAGAAGAAGCTTGAATGTAAAGTAAGAGAAGAAGGGATAGAGAAGGAGAAGCTGAAGGAGACATTGTTGGGATTAGGAGAGGAAAAGAGAGAAGCGATAAGACAGTTGTGTGTATGGATCGAACTCCATAGAGACCGTTGTGAGTATCTTGAAGAGGTTTTGTCCAAAATGGTTGCGGCAAGAGGACAAAGACGGTCACAACGAGCGTAAAGTTATGCCTCTCAACTGTAAGTTAGAGCTTAGCTGTGTTTATTTGTATTGTTTGTCTGTTGTTTGTGCTTTTTAAAGTCGAAATTGTATTGTTGGGGTGTGATGATTGTTTTGTAAGATCATAAAGATGGATTTGGATTGTTGGTGAGGTTTGTATAGAACTCATTGATATTGATCTTCATTAAGGTGGATTTATCTTTTGTAAAACATTTGATGTTGATTTTTGGTTTATTTTAGAAAGTTCTTGTGAAACTGTACCAACTTGGATGGGTGAATTTGTTGAATAACCAAAAAAAATAATTACCATAATTTAGAAAGTAACCAAATGCTTAGAGAGATATAGGGAGAGAAACTGGTTAGTTTGTAGATTATAGATTTTTTTTTTTTTTTTTTGTTATTGAACCAAATTTGTCAATTATGATTGGCAGCTTGAAGTAAAAACAATATTCTAAAAAAAACTAGCAAAAACGCATTGCATGTGTATAAATTTATGTTACTATATGTATAACTAGGTGTGTACAGGCTATAAAACATTTTGTTCAATTATAATTAATATAAAATCGAAGATGTTTTATTTATATATAACTAATTATGTATTAATAATAAAATAAGAAATATTTAATAATAAAAAATAACAATAAATTAAATAAAAATATTATACATATCATTAGAAAATAAAGATAAAAAATATTAATTAAAATTTTAAAAGATTTCTTTGGATACAATAATGTAAATATGGTAACTAAATAAAAAGGAAAATATATTAAAATATATACTAATTTATTTAATTTTTATTTCTGGTCCGTATGCATGTGCAATTATAACTTTTTTTATAAACATAATTAGTTGTAATATCTAAGTATTGATTAATTTTTTTATATATTATGTAAATGTTATGTTTTTATACATATTCAATTTTAATATTTAACAACAATCACACAAATATTTCATATTGTTTTGTGTCTTTTGAAAACTTTTTATTCTTCCTAGCGTTTAAAGTAATATATAATTATAAATATAAAAGTAATATTAAATAATAATTTAATTCTTATAATATGTTTGAATATTATCTATATAATACTTTATTTTTCTATTTACATAATATAATCTTACCAATATATATTTTAAGTACATATTTTTCCTTGACCTATTACTAATTAAACCAAAATGAATTCTACCGTATTTATTTATTATAAGAGTGGGTAGATGATTGGTCCGCATATTCGTGCACACCAACCACCTCACCGCTCTTAGGACATATAAATATTATTTTTAAAATATAAATTCTCTAACAACTAAAATTAAAATTAGAGTGTAATTGAGGTTAACAAATTTTATGCACGACAAGTTTGCATCCGAGTTTGATTTTTGCACAATTAATATTTATATTTATACACATATTTGTAAGAAAATCGAAGTATGACTTTTATGTTTTAAAAAAAAATAAAAATAAAATATATGTTTTGTAATATATAAATGTATGGCTGATTTTTTAAGAAAATAATAGTAAGTATATTGATGCATGTAGGTATGAGTTAGAAATAAGTGAATTGTAATATTAAGATGTTGGTAAGTTTTTTCTGGTATTTTCCACAAATGTTATGTTTTTATACGGTTCAGTTATTGGCATTTAACAACAATCATGAAAACCATTTTCTATCGTTTTGTATTTAATCAAAGTTTCTTATTTTTCAACGTTTGGTGATATTTGGTTTCTCAATAAAAATATAATAAAAATTTATTATAAAATTTGTGAAATCATATTTTATAAAACAAATTCTGGTAGCTCTTCGCTTATCTCTTCGTCAAACTTTTTTATAATCCGCAATCGCTCGCTTCCACAAACTCTATGTAACCGAATCGCTTAAACCAATCAGATCTAAACTTATATGTGTATGATTTAAGGTGTAAAATAATATATTTAATATTTAATTGTTATTAAAAATTAAGAGTTGATCTGTTTCTAACTTTAATATATTTGTTAATATAAAATATAATGGATCACAACATATACAAAACTTGATTCATGAAATAATGTTTTAATATGTTAGAAAAAATATATGCATGAAAGAATTAATATGTGAAAGATAATATTTTGAAATATTTCAAATAAAAATTTAAAATCGACCAAAATTATTCTTATTTTTTTCTCTTCTTTGACTCATACTTTTTTAACATTTAATAATATATTAAACATTAAGATCAGCTCCAATGTATTTTTCTATTTTTTTCTCTAAAATATAAGTGGATATCTCTCTAACATATTTCGATTTTACAGGGAAAACATATAATTATTTTTTCCTCTATAATTGGAGGAAAAAACAACAACCTTTCTTTTTCCTCAAAATTAGAAGATTTAAAATAAAAATGGGTTGAAAATACTTTAAACCCAAAAATATAGCATGAGATTTTTACATAAAACCAAAGTTGTAGATTCATTTTTACTTTTACATCTACTTTTTATTCATATATACAGTATTATGATAAAAAGTTAGCTAATATGATAGTTATAATTTATTTTTCTATCTGTTTAATTTTTTGTTTCATTTATAATTTTGAATTCTTGCTATATAATGAGAATTCATTCATATACGATATAATTTTTTTTATTTAAAAATGAGATTTATTTAGTTTTAACTTAACCAATCAAAATATTTTGTTTATTTTAGGAAATTTACCATATCACATGTATGAGGTGACATTGTTTTGCACTAACTTTTGCTAAGGTGATGACACATCAGATCTTTTCATTAAACATGCTTCTCAAAAAATAGTTAAGATATATAGACGTGGCCAGCTCTTATAGTAACATAAATTTATACACATATATATGAGAATATCGTAAAGTTATCGAATGTAATAAAATTGATATATGAGAATATACCGTTTCCTCATATATACGTGGCCAGCTTTACATATATATGAGAATATCGTAAAGTAAATCGAATGTAATAAAATTAATTTTTTGTGTAATTTATCCCCGTCTAAGATCTAGGGTTTCTGAAAATAAAAATTGGATTTTTCCCGTCTAAGATCTTAGGGTTTCTGAAAAGAAAAATTGAATTTTTGTGCAATTTAACCCCGTCTAAGAGGTAGGGTTTCTTCTCTCCGTTGTCCAATTTGTGTAAATTGGTATATGCTGTTGCATTAGATTACAGTCCTAAATTGTTTATATTTTGATTATTGTGAAGCCCGAGATGGAGTCAAGATCGACCTCTGGTGTGGTGCGTCGTATCCGTCCATTGGCAGGAACGTTCAGATATTATCCGTACACTGTAAGGAAGGGCTCTGGGAAGGAGGAGATGAAGGAAGAGGTTGTACGACTAGGAGTTGAGCTCTCACTCTGTGTAGCCGAGTCGATATTGCTACTCTCTGATGACATTCGTACTATGCTTTGGTTCTGCTTTAGGTTATGGAGGGGTTTGATATCGTACCGGAAACCAATGTTGGAGAGGCTGCTCCTGGTCATTCACCACGTCTACTTAAGAGATATCAAACCCAAGAACGGTGTGTACAAGGAGGGTGGAAGCTCGGTGCACTGGGAACTGATCAGGACCACGTGGAAGGATTTGGCGGACGGAGTCATAGTCTTGCATCGCCTTGAAACCGTTCTCCGAAGAAAAGAAAGCTCTTTTGATGATCGAGTACTATCGTCAGCTGTTGCGAAATACAAGCAGCAAGTGCTGAAGAAGCTCCAGTGTAAACTGAGGCCGAGTGGGTTTGGGAGGGAGACGATAGAGAACATTTGGAAGTCTCTCTTTGACGAAGAAGAAGCAACAATAACCACAGAGGTAAGGAGTAGGATTCTTGGCGACCTGTTTACGCCTATCTTGGGCAAGCCAGTCCATTGCGAGGTAGTGGCGCTGCCTGTGTCTTCTCCTTACATTCTAGGGAAGAGTTTTTCTATGAAGGATCTGGAAGAAGAGGTTGTGCGACTAGGAGTTGAGCTCTCCCTGTATGTGGCTCAATCAATGTTCTTGTTGTGTGATGACATACGCACTATGTTAGAGTTCTGCTTTAAGTTATGGAGACGTGTGGTATGCCAGAGTCCCGTGTCAGAAAGGCTGCTTCGTGTCATTCATTATGTCTACTCAGAAGGCATCAAACCGAAGAAGGGTGTGTGTCTGGATTGTGGAAACTCGGTCCACTGGGAATTGATCAAGACCACTTGGGAGGATTTTTCTGACGGAATCATAATCTTGGATCGTCTTGATAGGGTTCTCAGGAGTAAAAACCGCTCTTCTCATGATGCTCTATTGACGTCGGCAATCGAAAAATACAAGCAGCAAGTGCTGAAGAATCTCGAGGATAAACTGAGGTGCGCAAAGGCTGCTTCGGAGGCGAGTGGGTTTGTGAGGGAGACGATACAGTCTACCATTTTCGACTTGTGGAAGCCTCTGTTTGATGAAGAAGCAACATGCAAAGTGATGATGAGTAGGATGGATAGCGACCTGTTTACGCCTATTTTCGGCAAACCATTGCGTAGCGAGATAGTGGCCCTGCCTGTATCTTCTCCTTACATTCTAGGGAATGATTTTGAAACGCAGGAACTGGAAGAAGAGGCTGTGCGACTAGGAGTTGAGCTCTCCCTATATCTAGCTGAGTCGATGTTCCTCTTGTGTGACGACGTACGTAGCATGTTACGGTTCTGCTATTGGTTATGGAGAGGGACAAAAATGATGGCGCCTGCTCGTAACGAGAGTCCTGCCGTGGGGAGGCTGCTTCGTGTTATGCAATATGTCTACACAAAATATATCAAACCGAAGAAAGGAGCATATCAGAATGATGGCAACGATTCATTGGTCAGGACGATTCGGTCCACTGGGAATTACTTTAAGCATGCATTTATAGCTCTTGAACGCCTCTTCTACTTTCTCAAAGTAGGAACGAGATGTGGCCGAGGGCATGCGCTTTTTATTGAAGGAGGGGTGAAGGAGGTAGAGCAGAAGTTGTGGTGTGTGAAGGGTGTTGCAGAGGCCAATGGGTTTGCCAGAAATGTGATGGAGTCTAAGTTTTTGGAAATGTGGGAGTCTCTCCTTGACAGAGAACCCAAGGAATCTAAACTCACTCTCCAAGCCATAAACAAAGGACTCGTTCGTGACTTATTTCTCCCTCTGTATAACGAAGCACCACCACATTAGCCTGCCACTAGTTTTGTTTTTTTTTTCTCTCTCTTTCTATGGTATTTGGCTTATGTTTCCCATTTTGCTGAAAAATCACAACAATCTCATTATTTATGTTACAACATTATTTATTGTTTCCATCTACTTTTTATTGTTAAATTTTAACCCAAAGTAGTGTTCCCTATTTAACTATAACGTTGGTTGAATGATTGAAAAGATGTTTACAGGTGAAGCAGAGAAGCCTTTTCCGCCTTCACATATGCTTCTTTGAGCTTGAGAAGAAGTCTAAAGATGACGAGAGTGCACTGGAAGAAAACAACCGTCTACAGGCGCAAAAGAACGAAACCGAAGCAGAGCTAGAGAGAGAAGCAGGAGAAAGCAGCGTTACTGAATCAGATAAACGATGTGCAGAAAAGCATTGTTAGAGCAAGAAGCTGCTTACAACACGCTGAGCCAAGAACACGAACAGAACGAGAAGCAACGATCAAGAAGCTAACTGATGATTACAAACAAGCCCGGGAGATGTTGGAAGAGTACATGTCGAAGCTGGAGGAGACAGAGAGGAGAATGCAAGAGACGGGTAAAGATGTAACGTCGAAGGAAAGTGAGATTGTAGATCTCGAAGAGACGATGGAGAGTCTACGTAACCAAGTAGAGATGAAAGAAGGAGAGATAGAGAGTTTGATGGAGAAGATGAACAACCTTGAGGTTAAACTGCGTTTGTCAAGCCAGAAACTGAGAATAACAGAGCATAAAGATGGATTTGGATTGTTGGTGAGGTTTGTATAGACCCATTGATGTCGATCTTCATTGAGACGGACTTCTCTTTTGTAAAACATTTGATGTTGATTTTTGGTTTATTTTAGAAAATTCTTGTGAAACTGTACCAACTTCGATTGGTGAATTTGTTGAACAACCAAAAAAGAAATTACCATAATTTAGAAAGTAACCAAATGCTTAGAGAGAGATAGGGAGAGAAAATGGTTAGTACACATGTAGATTATAGATTTTTTTGGTTGTTGAACCAAATTTCTCAATTATGATTGGCAGCTTGAAGTAAAAACACTATTCTAAAAAAAAAACTAGCAAAAAACACGTTTCATGTGTATTAATTTATGTTACTATATGTATAATATATAGACGTGGCCAATGGCCAGCTCTTGTTCCTTCAATGTTTTCACATTCATTTGTTGTATAGGGAATGATTGGTGTATTTGTTCTGCATCATATGGTCTAACTCAAATATAACAACGTAACTCTACATGAAATATAATATACGTAATTATGCTATTGATTACATGATTAAGACTATTGATTAATTAATTCTCTTAGAGACACGTCGCTTAAACTAAGGGACGAGTGAGGACCACGAGGCTGAATAAAATAGATATCACATTCATGGTCTTGGGAGGGCGTTATATTTATTGCAATTTGCAAGTGGTAAGGATCGTTTGTACTCTTAGCACAAAATACATATATATGAGAATATCGTAAAAGTAAATCGAATGTAATAATAATACTAAAAGTAGTATATTAAAAAAAAATTACAATAATATTTCATGATACATTGTCTCCGTATTAAATGGTAAGGTATGCGTGGTGGCATTGGGTACGACTAAGAATAGTCAACAATCAAGAACCTAACTCATTTATTATCCATGATCCAATATTATACTATGTATTTTGTTATCAGGAGGATCCAATCATTTAATACAAATATCTTCATAATTGTTTCTAAAGTTGACAAAAAAAACATTTTTATAATTCCATGTGATCGAATTTCGACGTTGGCATTCAGTAACATTTCAACGTACATCGCTAGTATTTACGAAATAAAAAGATCGGAAGAACACAACCAAAATGATACTACAAAATAGTTGTTAGACTTATCTAACTATAAACGAAAAAGTCTTTTAATTAAACTATTGCAAATATAAAAATAAACAATTGAAGCTATTACAAGAAAATAGTGTTTCTTTTCATATTTGTACGTAGAGATGCATCGACTCCAGATTCTCCACGTGAAATGGCCACGAACCTCGCATTACGTAAAAGGGGCTGGAGTATATTTTTTAACTTAACTTATCAAACGATAATGCATGTGATTTATGCTGTAAGAAATTTTAGATTCTCTAAATTGAGTTGTCAAAGACAATGATAAGATAATTTTCTATCACTTTTTCTTCTCTCTCAAGTTTTCAGACGAGCTAAGAAATTAAAAGTAATATAGTGTCATATTTCATCGTTGGTTTTGGTCCTTTTGGACAAAGCCACATTGAAAAACTAAATAAAATACCTAATTTTCGAATTTTATAGGTTCTATAGAGACAGTCTTAAATGCACATTTGTTACCGACAAACAAAAAAATGCAACATTTGTTAATGAAGAGACCGTGAAGCTCATGACGATGAAGTCTCACACATAAAAAAAAGTTATTGGCTACGCGTTTTATTCTTCACCAAATACTCCAATATCTGTATCATATATTCTGCAAATAACCACTACCGAAAGAAAAGAAAAAAAAAAGGTTCACAGGTTTCCACCATAGAAAGAAAGATGGAGGTCAAACCAAAAGCCTTAGAGTCAAAGAAGATAGCAACAAAAGCTGAGGATGAGAAGAAGACAAAGAAAGATGATGTGACGAGTAGTAATGGTCAAGGGATTACTATTATTAAAGGGCATCTCAAAATCATCGAGGGTTTAATACAAGCTAAGACAAGATATGATCAATCTCCAAAGAGCTCGAGATCATCATCGTCATCATCATCATATGTGATGAAAATCAAGATGGGAAATTGTGAGTTTCTCAGGTTTTGTTCAATATATATAATAAGGTCATTGACTAATATATAGTTCCATAATATATATTATGTATGTGATCATCTATCGTTTTTCTTCATAAAACCTGTTAGGAAAGCGAAATTTTCATGTATAATTAATATACTTTTTAGTTTTTACAGACAAAACTTCGATTCAAGGATCAGAAAACACCAAGAAGATGGAAACTCAACACAAGAATGAGAAGGTGATGAATCTGAAACAAAATCAAAATCAAGAAGAGAGTAATAAGATGAAGAATAAGAAGGTATGGGATTGCGAAAGCACACTCTATGACTCGTTCGAGCTCAACTCGTTCAATCGCCAACTCGACTCAGCCATCTCCTCCTCCGCTAGATCCACGTCCATGCCCCACCTCCCTCCTCTTCCACTTTCAGAAAAGTCGTCGTCGCCGTCGTCGACAAAGAAACAGTCATCAAACAAGATCTCACGTTCTCTACAGAGACTCATAAAGTCAATATTCAGGCAGAAACAGCCAAACATTCCCTTTAAGGAATGTCACGGCGTAGATATGGACAAATACTACGTCGTTTTTGACAAGACAGGGTCGCTTACGACGATTCCCGAATCGGGAGAGACAACAGACCTGGTTGGCTCGGAGACGAACTCGCTTGTTAGGAAAACCGTGTCGGAGCGATTCCCGCCGAGTCGACTCGTTGGTATAACTTGTTCCTGATTAATAGTATCATTAGTAATTTACTGATGGATTAACTCAGAAAGATGATATTGCCACGCTGTTTAGAAAGTCTTTATAAATATTGGAATAAGTATTATGGTCATGTTTTTTTCTACGTTGTATGTTGATATATATATATATATATATCAGAAAATGTAAACAAAGCCCCAAGAATAAACATTTGGTTACAAGTTTTTCTTCTTTTTTAAAGTGGTAAATCCTCTATATATAGTTTATTCTAGTGTTAGTTTTTGCCAACTTTTTTTTTTTTTTTTTTCATTTAGACTGGCACAACTCTTGACTCTCGCTATACATTATCAATAAGTTCATAAATTCAATCAAAACATAGTTTTCGGCTCATTTGCAGTTATATAAACCGCAAGATGTGTGTTAATACATATATTTTGACAAGAAAATTTTAAAAACTCAATAATTTGACATTTTCTTGTGTTTGTATTAATGTACACATCTTGAAAAGAAAATAAAAAAATTAAAAAATTTAACATTTTCTTGTGTGCGTTAATACACACATTTCGGTAAGAAATAATAAAAAAACTCGCAAATTTAATATTTTTTGTGTGTGTTAATACACTATCTTGACAAGAAAAATAAAATAAAAACTCAATTTCTTGTGTGTGTTAATAGACACATCTTGGCAATAAAACTAAAAAACTCAAAAAAATTAATATTTTTTGTTTGTGTGATAATACACATTTTGACGAGAAAAATAAAAAAAAAACTCAAAATTTTATCATATTCTTGTGTGTATTAATAAACATATCCTGACAAAAACAAATTAAATCAAAGTCGAAAATATACCATATTTTGTGTGTGTGTGTTAGTAAACAATATCTTGACAAGAAAATTAAGAAATCTCAAAAATTTAACATTTTCTTGTGTATGTATTAATACACATATCTTGGTAAGAAAATTAAAGAACTCAAAAATTTAACATTTTTTTATGTGTGTTAACACACACATATCTTGGCAAGAAAATTAAAAAACTCGAAAATTCAAAAATTTAACATTTTCTTGTGTGTGTGTGTGTGTGTGTGTGTGTTAATACACATATCTTGACAAGAAAATTAGAAAAAACTTATTTTCTTGTGTATGTGTGTGTGTGTGTGTTAATACACAAATCTTGGCAAGAAAATTAAAAAAACTTCAAAAATTTAACGTTTTCTTGTTTGTGTGTTAATACACATATCTTGAGAAGAAAATTTAAAAAAAAAACTCAAAAATTTAACATATTCTTGTGTGTGTGTGTGTGTTAATACACATATATTGACAAAAAAATTAGCAAAAACTCATTTTTTTGTGTGTGTGTGTGTGTGTTATTACACAAATCTTGGCAAGAAAATTAAAAAAACTCAAAAATTTAACATTTTCTTGTGTGTGTGTTCAAACATTTTATGACAAGAAAATTAAAAAAAAACACGAAAATATGACATATTTTGTGTGTGTGTTAGTACACATATCTTGACCAGAAAATTAAAAAAACTCAAAAATTTAACATTTTCTTGTGTGCATATTAATACACACATCTTGGTTAGAAAATTAAAAAAACTCGCAAATTTAACATTTTTTGTGTGTGTTAATACAGATATTTTGACAAGAAAATTAAAATAGAAACTCAATTTCTTGTGTGTGTGTTAATAGACATATCTTGACAATAAAATTAAAAACTCGAAAAATTAATATTATTTGTTTGTGTGATAGTACACATATTTTGATAAGAAAAATAAAAAAACTCAAAAATTTAACATATTCTTGTGTGTGTTAATAAACATATCTGGACAAAAAAAATTAAAAAAATCGAAATATACCATATTTTGCGTGTGTGTTAACACATATCTTGACAAGAAAATTAAGAATACTCAAAAATTAAACATTTTCTTGTGTGTGTATTAATACACACATCTTGATAAGAAAATTGAAGAACTCAAAAATTTAACATTTTCTTGTGTGTGTTAATACACATATCTTGACAAGAAAAATTAAAAACTTGAAAGTTTAACATTTTTGTGTGTGTGTGTGCGCGTGTTAGTACACATATTTTGACAAGAAAATTATGAAAACTCAAAAAAAATTAACATTTTCTTATGTGTGTTAATACACACATCTTGAAAATAAATATTTCAAAAAACTGGCAAATTAAACATTTTTTGTGTGTGTTAATACATATATCTTGACATGAAAATTGAAAAATTCAGAAATTTATCATTTACTTATGTGTGTGTTAATAGGCATATTTATACAAGAAAATAAAAAAATTAGTCTGGCAAACTTAAGAAGGAAAAATTTGCAGAAAGAAAATCGAAAGTTTAACATTTTCTTGTGTGTGTTAATATACACATCTTGGTAAGAAAATTCAAAAAAAACTCAAAATTTTAACATTTTCTTGTTTGTGTGTTAGTACACATATATTGAGAAGAAAATTTAAAAAACTCAAAAATTTAACATTTTCTTGTGTGTATGCTCATACATTTTTTTGACAAGAAAATTAAAAAAAAATCGAAAATATAACATATTTTGTGTGTGTGTTAGTACACATATCTTGACCAGAAAATACAGAAAACTCAAAAATTTAACATTTTCTTGTGTGCATATTAATACACACATCTTGGTTAGAAAACTAAAAAAACTCGAAAATTTAAAAATTTGTGTGTGTGTTAATACAGATATCTTGACAAGAAAATTAAAATAAAAACTCAATTTCTTTTGTGTGTGTGTTAATAGACACATCTTGGCAATAAAATTAAAAAACTCAAAAAATTAATATTTTTTGTTTGTGTGATAGTACACATATTTTGATAAGAAAATTAAAAAAAACTCAAAAATTTAACATATTCATGTGTGTGTTAATAAACATATCTAGACAAAACTTTTTTTAAAAAAATCGAAAATATACCATATTTTGCATGTGTATTAGTACATATATCTTGACAAGAAAATTAAGAAAACTCAAAAATTAAACATTTTTTTGTGTGTGTATTAGTACACACATCTTGATAAGAAAATTGAAGAACTCAAAAATTTAACATTTTCTTGTGTGTGTGTTAATATACATATCTTGACAAGAAAAATTAAAAACTTGAAAGTTTAACATTTTTTGTGTGTGTGTGCATGTTAGTACACATATTTTCACAAGAAAATTATGTAAACTCAAAAAATTTAACAATTTCTTATGTGTGTTAATACACACATTTTAGTAACAAATATTTAAAAAAACTGGCAAATTAAACATTTTTTGTGTGTGTTAATACACATATCTTGACAAAAAAATTGAAAAATTCAGAAATTTATCATTTTTTATATGCGTGTTAATAGACATATCTTGACAAGAAAATAAAAAATTTGTCCCGCAAACTGAAGAAGGAAAAATTTGCAGAAAGAAAATCGAAAATTTAACATTTTCTAGTGTATGTTAATAAACACATCTTGGTAAGAAAATTCAAAAAAAACTCAAAATTTAACATTTTCTTTTTTGTGTGTTAATACACATATCTTGAAAATAAAATTTAAAAAACTCAAAAATTTAACATTTTTTTGTGTGTGTGTGTGTGTGTGTTAATACACATATCTTGACAAAAAAAAATTAGAAAAAACTCTTTTTCTTGTGTGTGTGTGTGTGTGTGTAAATACACAAATCTTGGCAAAAAAAATAAAAAAACTCAAAAATTTAACATAATCTTGTGTGTGTTAATAAACATATCTCGACAAAGATATAACATATTTTGCGTGTGTGTTAGTACACATATCTTGACAAGAAAACTAAGAAAACTCAAAAATTTAACATTTTCTTGTGTGTGTATTAATACACACATCTTGGTAAGAAAATTGAAGAACTCAAAAATTAAACATTTTCTTGTATGTGTTTTAATACACATATCTTGACAAGAAAAATTAAAAACTTGAAAGTTTAACATTTATTTTGTGTGTGTGTTTGCGTGTTAGTACACATATCTTGACAAGAAAAATTAAAAACTTGAAAGTTTAACATTTTGTGTGTGTGTGTGTGTGCGTGTTAGTACACATATTTTGACAAGAAAATTATGAAAACTCAAAAAATTAACATTTTCTTATGTGTGTTAATACACACATCTTGGAAATAAATATTTCAAAAAACTGGCAAATTAAACATTTTTTGTGTGTGTTAATACACATATCTTGACATGAAAATTGAAAAATTCAGAAATTTATCATTTACTTATGTGTGTGTTAATAGACATATCTTGACAAGAAAATAAAAAATTAGTCCGGCAAACTTAAGAAGGAAAATTTGCAGAAAGAAAATCAAAAATTTAACATTTTCTAGTGTATGTTAATAAACACATCTTGGTAAGAAAATTAAAAAAAAACTCAAAAATTTAACATTTTCTTGTCTGTGTGTTAATACACATATCTCGAGAAGAAAATTTAAAAAATTTAAAAATTTTAACATTTTCTTGTGTGTGTGTGTGTGTGTGTGTTAATACACATATCTTGACAAAAAATTAGAAAAAAACTCATTTTTTGTGTGTGTGTGTGTGTGTAAATACACAAATTTTGGCAAAAAAATTTAAAAAACTCAAAAATTTAATGTTTTCTTGTTTGTGTGTTTATACACATATCTTGAGAAGACAACTTTAAAAAACTCAAAAATTTAACATTTTCTTGTGTGTGTGTGTGTGTTAATACAAATATATTGACAAGAAAATTAGCAAAAACACATTTTTGTGTGTGTGTGTGTGTGTGTTATTACACAAACCTTGGCAAGAAATAAAAAAAAACTAAAAAATTTAACATTTTCTTGAGTGTGTGTTTATACTTTTTTTGACAAGAAAACTAAAAAAAAAACTCGAAAATATAACATATTTTGTGTGTGTGTTAGTACACATATCTTGACCAGAAAATTAAGAAAACTCAAAAAATTAATATTTTCTTGTGTGCATATTAAGACACACATCTTGGTTAGAAAATTTAAAAAACTCTCAAATTAACATTTTTTGTGTTTGTTA